ATGAAATATGAGATTAAGTGGGTTTTTTTGCAAACTTGGAAAGTATTTATTTCAATCACATCCCTTTCCAAAGATCAATTAGAAATTTACTTGCTTCCAAGTGTCTTTTAAAACTTACTGTGCAAACTGCAGATCTGCTTCCTAAGAGAATTAGTCATGACTTCACTTCAGATGATGGTGAGATTGTCATGTCTTTCATTACTTCACTCACTTGGTCATCATCCTCAAGATGACCAGGAATGAGGGAAAAAACTTTTAGAAAGGAGTAAGTGCTAACCTTAGTAATGAAGCAAAGCTGTCTCTGGCTCTGTCAGACAAGGGAATATTGTAATGACCACTCTTATACCATTCACTATTCAAGAAATAAAGAAATATGATGTGTCAAGTGCAGTCGAAGCCCCGTGTGTTCCCTTCTCTTCCAACCATCCTGATTTTGCTTTTTATTTTTACTACATATGGATACATACATAGACAACACAATACATTATAGTTATGCATGCTTTTAAGTTTTCTTAAGCAGTGTGCTTCTTGAGGGCAAGGTATGCATGTTTAAACTTTCTTAAACTTTTTCTGCATTGAATGTTTTTTGGATTTATAATTGTAAGATACATAATAAAGTATAGATAATTGACATGTACAGTTTAGAGAATAATGAAGTGAACATGCACATGCTCACCACCCAGCTTTATAAAAGCCTTACCTTTCTTGTGCATTTCTCTCCCCGGCTCCCAACAGAAGTACTCATGTCCTGACTTTTGCAACAACTAATTCCCTTGCTTTTCTTCAGTTTTACCTCACTGTATCTGTTAAACACTATATTTAGCTTTGTAGGTCTTTAAGCTTGCTATAAACATTCCTTTGTGTATACTCTCTCACAATTGGCTTTAGTTTTTGCTCAGTGTTTTGGAGACATATACCTGTTGTGTACATGTAACTGTAGTGCCTTCTTTTTCCCTGCTATATGGTATGCTACTGTATGAATAAATCATAATTTATTCAGTCATTTTCCTGTTGATGAATATTAGGTTACTTCCTTTTTTTTTTTGCTATCACAAGCAATGCCTTTATAGGTGATTGTTTTTATGCACATATACTAAGAGTTTCTGTAGGCTGTATACCTCAGAGTGGAATTACTGGCTGAAGGACACTTGCCTCTTTGACTTTCTAGATCTCACTACCTTGTTGCCCACAGCAGGTGTCCTAAAGTCCAATAGCAGTATAGGAGTTTCTTGGGCACCAGATGCTCACCAACATTTTATATAGTCTAAAAAAAAATTTTACACAGTCATTTTAAATTTTTTCCAACTTGATGGCTGTGAAGTAGTGTCTTATCATAGTTTAATATGTGTTTCCTGGATTAGTGTGGTAGAGCATTACTTAATAAGCTCCTCATAAAGAGAAAATCATTCAGGTGTTCTCTTCTGTGAACTGCCTGTTTAAATGGTCCATCCATTTTTCTGTTGCATTTTTTTTTTATTCCTTTGAACCAACAGTCCTACATAAACTCCAGACACACACCTTTTATCAGTTATATGTTACATGTCTTCTCCCATTTATGGCCCGTCTTTTCACTTTCATTATGGTATCTTTTGATGTAGAGAAGCTTACATTTTCAGAGTTGAATTATCCATCTCTTCCTTAAGTGTTAGCACTTTTTGTAGCTTGTTTAGGTACAAGGTCTTAAAGATATTTTCCTGTATCGTCTTCTAAACGTTTTACCTTTTATGTTTAGGTCTTTAATTCATCTGACATTGACTTTTTAAAAAATGGTGTGAAGTAGAGGTTCCATTTTCTTTCTTTCCAAATGGATAACCAGTTGTCCTATTTTCTTTCTTTCCAAATGGATAACCAGTTGTCCTATTTTCTTTCTTTCCAAATGGATAACCAGTTGTCCTATCACCATTTATTGAAGCACTTATTCTTTACCCACAGATATGCAATGCTAGTGCCATAACCCAAGTATCCCAATGAGGGTAGCTGTGTTTCTAGGCTTTTTATCGTCTCATTCTTATTTTGGTTATTGTGCCAGTACAGCTTTCTCCTGGGCAGCACCGGCATCTGCTCTAATGCCTTCTCTGATTCTCAACCCCTTTCTGCTTTTGGCCTCTGGGGATTTCCCTTACTTCTTGTGAGTTCAGTTATGCATTTAAAGGGCATATGTTATGTTTATTAGATCTTATCCAGCATTTCTTTGCCTGTAGTGAGAGATTTTTTGCATAACCTAATGATGGAAAGAGAAGTTGTTTAGCTGATTCCCAAAAACAAATGTTTGTGATCATCTCACCTTGAGGATACAAGGGAGGAAAAGCACAAAGTGCTTGCATATTGCATTTTTCCAGTAAAGCACAAAGTGCTTGCATATTGCATTTTTCCAGTAAAAGAGGTAAAACTGACATTTTAAATAGCAATAATGTTTGAATATATTTTGGCTAAAACTTCACATTAAATAAAAAATCACTTTGTATAGATCAGTGAAACGTGACCAAAACAATACTTAGATTTCCAAAATAAAACAAAGCAATTGAGTCAAAAATAATCTGACTCTCATGCCAGTTACAGGAAGAATAAAACCAATGAGATAGATAAGCTTCTGCCTCCTATGATACAGCCTTGTGAGGAAGATTTAGGCAGAAATGTGTCCATTTCGATGGATAGCTGTGGTGTAAACACTATAAGCATCAGCACTTTGGGCATAAACTATACAATGTGTCTCATAAGAATTAAGTGAGTTAATGTTTATAAAGAATTCAAAACAGTGTCTGGCATGTAGTAAGCACTATGTCAGTGGTTGTTTAATAAAAATAAGGGGTGGAATTACAACCATATCATTTGGATGGTGTGTCCCTATTTCGCCCCATATAGGAAACATGTCTTCAAGACAAGGACCATATCGTTTGTTTCTGGTACTTAGCACGAAAAGAACGTTCTATGAGGATGAGGAGTAGGTGAATGCACCTTCGTGAGAAGGCTTCCCAGGGCCATGTGTGGTATCGCAACACATCCCTCTCTTCCTGGAGGTCCCCCCATTTTTACTTAACCAGTGTCTGAATCCACTTTCAGGGACCCTGCATGCAGTATATATTCAACAATTATGTGGCGCCTTCCCATCACTATAATGTTCAACAAGGGCCAAAGACATTGGGGAAGACATAGAGATTGAAAACAGGCACATGACAAGATGCTCAACATCACTAATCACCAGGGAAATGCAAATCAAAACCACAATGAGATACCGCCTCACACCTGTTAGAATGGCTATTATCCAAAAGACAACAAATAACAAGTGTTGGCGAGAATGTGGAGAAAAGAGAACCCTGTGTACTGATGGTGGGAATGTAAATTGGTTCAGCCACTATGGAAAACAGTACGGAAATTCCTCAACAAAATTAAAAATTGAAGTACCATATATTCAGCAATTCCACTCCTGGGTATTTTTTTTTTTCTTTTTAGGCCACACTGCACGGCCTGTGGGATCTTAGTTCTCTGACCAGGGATTGAACCCAGACCCTCTGGAGTGAAAGTCCTAACCACTGGACTGCCAGGGAATTCCCCACTCCTGGGTATTTATCCTAAGAAAACAAAAATGCTAATTAGAAAAGATATACGTATCCCTATGCTCACTTCAGCATTATTTACTGATATGGTAGCTAAGATATGGAAGCAGCCAAAGTATCCATCAGTAGATGAATGGATAAGGAAAATATATACACACGTGTGTGTGCGCGCATGCACGCGCACGTGTAATGGAATATTACTCAGCCATAAAAAAGAATTAAATCCTGCCGTTTGTAACAACATGGATGGACATAGAGGGTATTACGCTAAGTGAAAGAAGTCAGACAGAACAGACACATAGTGCATTTTACGTATATATGTAATCTACAAAACAAATGAACAAAAAATAAGGAAACAGAAAGAGTTATAAATACAGAGAACAAACAGGTGATTGTCAGAGGGGAGGGCGTGTACAAGGAGGAAAGAAATAGATGAGAGAGATTAAGAAGTACAAACTTCCAGGGGCTTCCCTGCTGGCACAGTGGTTGAGAATCCGCCTGCCAATGCAGGGGACACGGGTTCGATCCCTGGTCCAGGAAGATCCGACATGCCGTGGAGCAGCTAAGCCCGTGTGCCACAACTACTGAGCCTGCACTCTAGAGCCCACAAGCCACAACTACTGAGCCCATGCACCTAGAGCCCATGCTCTGCAACAAGAGAAGCCACTGCAATGAGAAGCCTGTGCACCGTGACGAAGCGTAGCTCCCGCTCGCTGCAACTAGAGAAAGCCCGTGCACAGCAACAGAGACCCAACGCAGCTAAAAATAAACTAAACAAATTAAAAAAAAAGAAAAAACAAACAAACTCACTCAAGAGATCAGATTTGTGGTTCCCAGAGGCAGAGGTTGGAGGAAGGGGCAATTGGATGAAGGCAGTCAAAAGGCAAAAACTTCCAGGCATAAGATAAATAAGTACTAGGGATGTAATGTACAACATGGTAAATGTAATTCATGCTGTTGTACGTTATATATGAAAGTTGTCAAGAGAGTAAATCCTAAGAGTTCTCCACAAGAAATAGAATTATTTTCTGTTTATTTCATTTTGCATCTATATGAGATGATGTCCACTAAACTTATTGTGATAATCACTTCATGATGTTTCTAAATCCAATCATTATGCTGTACTCCTTAAACTTATACAGTGCTGTATGTCAATTATATCTCAATAAAAGTGGAAGAAAATATAAAGTATACAAGAGGATGTGTATAGGTTAATGCAAATACTGTGCCATTTTGTATAAGGGACTTGAGCATCTCCGTATTTCGGTATCCACAAGGGGTCCCGGAACCAATCCCCCTTGGATACCAAGGGATGACTGTACTGCAACTTATAAAATAACAAAGGTAAAATAAACATAACAAAATATTTAAAAATTTTTTTAAAAGGCTCTGACAAAATTTTGGCAATTCACCAACACAAGGATGTTTTTATCATTCATCTAGAAATGCAAGTCAATAGTATATTCAGTTTATTTTGGAATAGCTATCTTTAACTGACAGTCTATGCTCAAATGGCACCAAATTATTAATTTTTAATTAAACATTTTTATTAATTAAATTTGCATGTATGAAAAAAGTAACATACAAGGCAAGTTATATAGTCTCGGGCTTATGTAAAATCTTGACTGCTTTCAACAATTACTGAACTCTCTTTTCAAAGAAAATCTTCATACTAATGTATGTTTGTCCATGTAATAGACTGAAGACAGCCACAAATATGGCATTCTCAAAACAACACGTAACTACTAAATGTAATGTTGCAAATTAACTTATTTCCTTAAAATTTCACTAAATAATTCTAAGGAGCACAACAAAATATTAAAAGCTCCCAGGGTTTATCCTAAGAATTAGGCAGTCTTCTTTGATTTTTTCTTCTTTGCTTCTTCCTTTTTCTTTCCTGTTTCATTTACTTGTAATTCAATTTCTTTGGCACTAAACATCTGAAAAGAGAAAAAAAATTAAAAAGCAAACTTCAATTATAGCAATAATTTCTAAATATTTATAATGTGAAGGAACCCAATTATATTTTATAAATTTTTATGTTCTATTTATAACATTATATTTTATAACTTCAAATATATAATGAAATATTTCACAAGGTTCAAAAGCAACATACTTGTAACAATTATGGACAAAACCAGAACTCTATGACATTTCCACTCTCGTGTGCTAATATAGAAAGCTGGGCAAATGCAACATTGCATTACATCGCCTATATATGATAACTCTGAAAACATTTTTATGCGAGGCTTATTCTATTCATGAGCAAATAACTCATTACTGAACTCCTATCCCTACCCCACTGTGATTCTTGAAAAGGTTTGTCTATCTTGTCAGCTCGTGGACTAGCCAAAGGCAGGAAAATGATGATTTACACTGTGCTTTGTTTACAGCTACTGAGTAGAGAACAAAACAGTTTTTATTTTATTTAAATCAATTTTATTTTATTTAAAATCAAAGTTGGGAGCAACTTGCTCCAGATCATATGGTTAAACAAATGTATCTGCTGGAAATTAAACCCAGATCTATCCAATTCCAAAGCACAGGCTCTATTCACTACACAGCCTATTGTGAAATATCATGTGGAAAGATAGTGTAACTTTGGTGCCAGTACACATACCATTCTACCACTCATAAATAAAACTATATGTATATCTGTGTGTGTGTGTCTGTCCAGGTGTGTACATATGTATGTGATGGGCCTGGAGAGGTGACTCTGGACTCAGTGGTTCTGTGTCCCTGTGGTGTTGGCACATCTGTCCCTGAGTCCTTGGCAGCAGGGGTGACAACCTGACCCAGTTCCTATCTCCATACTCTGTGCTCAGCACCCTGGTTATTATGTCCTTGCAGAGGCAGACCCAACTACCCTGTCCCCATTTCTCTAATTCATTGAAACTTGCTCCTGCACTCTCCTTGCATCCCCATCCATTGGTGTCAAAACAACAATAACAACAACAAAAAAACTGTCAAGAAAACAAAAACAAAAGCAAAAACCACTACTCCACACAGCACTGATTTTAACATTATTTCCCCTTGAAATATTTTCTTTAAAACAAAAGTTATATGTAAAATAATCCTTTTTAGCGCACTTTTCATATAGTTTCCCATGCAAGTGCTTTTGTATACTCTCAGCTAAAGGACAGCTAGTTAGCAAACAGTGTGAAGCTCTACCTAATGAACAATAGTGAACCACATTTCAAATGTGCTTTAGCCAATGAGTCCTCTATCACAATATTTGGAACAATTTATCATAGCGTTCTGAATACTTTATTTTGCAGTCTACCAGTTTTAACACATAGTGGCTGACAAAAGGTGTACAAATAATAATGCTAGACTTGCCATAAAGAAATATGGAAAGATTATCACACTAGATATTAAAATGCAAGTCTTACATAAGCTCAAGGCACTCATAAATGAAAAGTAGAGAAAATAGATAAAAACCAGTAGGCAATCAAGAAAGGGTGGGGTTTTTTTTTTTGCGGTACGCGGGCCTCTCACTGCTGTGGCCTCTCCCGTTGCGGAGCACAGGTTCCGGACGCGCAGGCTCAGCAGCCATGGCTCACGGGCCCAGCCGCTCCGCGGCACGCGGGATCCTCCCAGACCGGGACACGAACCCGCGTCCCCTGCATCGGCAGGCGGACTCTCAACCACTGCGCCACCAGGGAAGCCCAAGGGTGGTTTTTTGACATAATGAAGGATAACGTTGTGTTAGAAGCCTAGAGGGCCAACAATTATATAAATGGCAGCAGAATGACACTGGCTAGAAGCTAATCTTGATTTCAGAAGATGTAAAGACAGGAAGAGTAACTGTTCTCTATATGGTGCCAGGAATGAATCTTTGTAAGGAATATGCTACACTGACCCTATATAGGACTGACTCAGTAGGGGTTCCTACTTATAAGAACATATACTAAATGGGGTAGGCCTATATATAGATCTCAGCACATCTAGGTCTTCCCAGAGGGCTAGGAATAGATAACTGCTTGTGTAATAAGCATGTACAAATTAGTGACTATTAGGCTACAGAAACAAAACAGAAGTCATCATAGTGTCAGTAGATGCTAATGGATGTTTCAGGCTCATAATAAAAGATTCACAGGTGTCAACAACATATTAAATTTTGTCAAAATACTTTATACTACAGATATTTTTTCCTCTTTGGTTAATGACTTACCTTCAAAGGTTGCTTTCTTCCTATTATAGCAAGTTCAATGTTTTTTCCACCAGATTGGACAACCTAATGTAAAACAAGTGCAATTTTAGAATTACTTCAGGAAAGTCTCTGTTTTAAAAGGCGACTGAATGAGGGGAAAAAACATGCTTTTCTGTATATGCTTTATTAGATCACTTACTTCCAGCAAAGCTCTTATTGCTAATTTGATAGCTTCACTGTCGTTTGCTATAGCATCTTCTGTGTAATTCTTTTCTAGAAATTCTCGGACAGTTTTAGCACTTCGACCTATTGCATTTGCCTTGAAAGATAGAAGATAATTATTAATATCACTGCAATATGAATGAAGTTATGGTTACTAAGTGAGGTTTAGAGCTTACTCCAATATTTCTTAGCATAATTACTAAATGAAGATTGTAGGTTCAAAGATTTAGCAAACATTTCAACAGCTCATCTGATTACTATATGAATAATCTGTGGTGATGGCATGCCTGACTTTCAAATATACCAGTGCTTTCCTGGCCAGTGCTTTCTATTTCCTTAATGGCTCCCAAGTCCTTAGTAGTCAGAAAAGATTAAAAGAGTTGAAACTCGAAAAGATGTGAAGAGGAAAGGAGACATAACTTTGCAATATGATGAAAAAAGAAGAAAAGAAAAAAAAGGACATCACTGTGAAGAAGAAAGTTGTTTCTGTGGATAGGACTGTGCATCATTTTCTTAGAACTTAGCTAAGTATACTAATTACTGATTCATTATACTTTGACTATAAGCAAGAAATGCTGCTTCTGTTCCATGCCCCATTTTTCTTTGTTCTTTAGAAATTTTCATCAAATGAAGGGAAGAGGTAAATGCATTTTCCTGGCTGCATGACTACAAGTAGTATATGGCATTTTCTTTCCATTTAGTCTCAATATCCAGTAATAGTAGTGATAATGATGATGATAACAGTAATTTATATTAACAGAGCACTTAATGTTCCAGGCACTATGTTAAGCATTTTACATGGATTATCTCATCTTAACCATCACAAAAACAATTAAATAGGAACTGTTACTACTCTAATTCATACAGGGTTAAAAGAGCCTTCTCAACCTCAGCGCTGTTGGCATCCTGGGCTGGATAGCTCTGCCCTCGTGAGGGCTGTCCTGTGCACTGTAGGATGTTTAGCAGCCTTTATCCACTAGATGCCAGCAGCACCCCGGCCTCAGCTGTGACAACCAAATGTGTCTCTAGATATTGCCAAATGTCCCTTAGATGGGACAAAATCACCCCCATTGTGAACCACTGGCTTAAGTAATCTTGCCCAAGATCATATAGCGGGTAAGCAGAAGATCTGAGCTTTGAAACCAAGTAGACGGAATCACCAATCCAAGCTTTGAACTCTATACCCCATGCTGCCACATGCCCCTTGCTGTGATGTCTCTAGAGAGAGAAAAGAACCAGCAGAAAGGCCCATCCTTTCACTGAAGGATTCTGGCACGAAATGGGGGATGTCTCAGTTCCAACTGGTAGGTATTATGATTACTGGAAAGAGATCTCAAAGGAGTCTTTTAGGAAGTGAGAATGAAAACACACCTTTTGTACTACATGAGTATATAATTCTGCTACTTGACAGAACTTTTTTGATACCTTTATATTTCAGAAGATTAAACTAAATAGCTGTGAAATTTTAAATCAGATTTTGTGGCTTTGAAATTTCATTAAGATCAAAGGTAAAGCCTTCAGCCTGGTATGACTTTGGAGTTTATCAGCTTCTAGTTTGTTTTGGTTAACTAATTGGTTGCTGCCCAGAGAGGAAGTACATGAGGTAGTGGTTTGTCCAAAAATCTCACTGAGCCTTTAAAAGTCACCTTGTAAATTCCTGGTGACGTTCCTGTCCACCTCTTCCGATTGCTGATGTCAAAATTCTTTAACTCTTAACCTATTTGACTGGTTTCCTAAAATCTAGCTGCTTCTTGCCACACTCATGCCCCTACCCTCCCTGGAACCCGATCACCCACTCCAGCTCACTTCAACAGACTCTGATGGGTTTGCAGTGTTTTTCCTGCCTGCCTATCCAGATTAATGACGATTTTCTGTGGCAAACAATATGAGCTGCCAACCTCAATGTCCATTCTTCCTTTGTAACTGAACTCTAGGCAATGTGCCTACTGAAAAATGTCATGTCCTACCCTCTGTTACCAAAAGGTATATACAAGTGGAAGTAACTGGGTGAAACTTCTAGTAATCCTTGCTGCCTGTAATGCAGACATGTTGGCTGGAGGTCTAGTAACTACCTTGAGAGCATGAGAAAAGACTAAGATAATAAAAGAGACAAACACCAGCAACTGCCTATTTCAACCTTCTCATTATGTGGGAGAAATAAATCCTTCTGTGTGAAGAATCATCGCATCTCTGTTGTTAGGAGCCAAGAACAATAACTCACGAATACACCTTTGAGTAGATCCTGTGACATACTGCCCCACCTCCCTTCAGAAATGAAAGCCTTATTCCTACAGTTGCTGGAAGTGCCAATGGCACACAGCCCTCAGCTCTTTCTTTGAGAGGTGCCTTTGTTAACAAGAGCTGCCTCATCTAAGGTCTTGTACTATCTAGGGTTGGCCCAAGTCCAATGACTGATTGATGAAGAGCTATTAATGTCCAGTCCCCTCACCCCAACTTGGAACAACTTTGAAGAGCTACCCCAGATCCAGGGCTTCCCATGGGATTGATGAGGCCTTTATTGAGATTGCACTGCAGTCCAACTTTTCCCTCGGCCTAATCTGGTTCCCTTCCCTTCAACAAATGCTGATCCCCAAAGCACTTCCTAATATACTTCCTAAAAATGATGGTTAAATGGCCTTTAAAATATTTTCCAAAGAATACCAGAGTGGAGAGAGGATTTATGATAAAAGGGTTCCAAATTCAAGTAATCTTGGAGACTACTACTTTAGCTGCTTCTAGAATATTTATAATGCCTTTTAGAAGATGCAGAACGTAATAAAATTTATTAAATTTCTTTAGAAAAACATCTCTCAAAGTTAATTAACTTTAAAGAGCTTGTTTACATTACACCTATTAACATCAAAAGAAATACACTTTGAGAAACACTGCTCTGAAATATACAACATATTAACTTTGTTCCTGTTTTAAAGTGTTACCTACAACAGCAAAACACTTGGCCTTATAAGCTCTTCACCATCGCTCCATCCAAGCTGTCCTTGCCAAAGTCACCAATGACTTGCCTGTTACCAAATTCAATCATTTCATGTCCTCTTCTTACTTGATCCATCAGTGGCACTGACTCAGCTGATCAACTCTTCTTAGAATACTGTTTTCACTTAGGATCCAGGATATTGCTTTCTGGGTTCTCCTCCTTTACAGAATAGACTGGATCTATCCCCACCTTTCACTGGCCACTGCCCCTGATCTAAATCTGGTCTTGCCTGAATTATTATTAAGAGTCCCCTAACTTGTTTGCCTGCTTCTACCCTACAATCTGTTCTCAATAAAAGAGATACTTTTAGGGTTTCCCTGGTGGCGCAGTGGTTGAGAGTCTGCTTGCGGATGCAGGGGACACGGGTTCGTGCCCCGGTCTGGGAGGATCCCACATGCTGTGGAGCAGCTGGGCCCGTGAGCCATGGCCGCTGAGCCTGCGCGTCCGGAGCCTGTGCTCCGCAACGGGAGAGGCCACAACAGTGAGAGGCCCGCGTACCGCAAAAAAAAAAAAAAAGAGATACTTTAAAAATATAAATCAGATCATGTTACTCTAATAAGCAAAAATCTCTAGTATCTATTTCACATGTCCTCTATGTGTACGCTGTAAGACTACAGCCTAGTACTGCAGTGTTGTCATCTCATGGTACCAGAGCTGTGTTCTCAAGTCCTCTATACCATCCTGTCAGGCTACGTGGTATAGTAGGTCAGAGTAAAAAAACAAGACATAGAATCAAACAAACAAAAAAACTTGATCTTATGTTTAAAGTGCCATTGCGCGCCCCCCCCCCCACAAATAAAAATAAAACCGAAGATTTTACTCCACCTTTAAAGACTGAATATCAGAATTTATATAAAATGTATAGAGAATCCTTTGGCCTAGGGAAGTAGCATGAAGTAGTGGACAGAATACTGGACTAACAAGCAGAAGACCCTGAGTTCTAATTCCAGTTTTGCTATTAACTAGTGAACTTAAAAAAAAAAAAAAAAATCACTTAACTCCTGAGTCTTACTTACCAAATACGTAAAATTAAAGTTTCCAAGACTTTTTTGTTATTGATGATTTTTTTAAGCTGCATAATGCTTCCTTCAACCAAAATCTTATAAGAAAGTACAACATGTAAAATCAGTAAAATGATGATAACGGGGTGTAGGTGTGTGTGTGCACATGCTCACGCTGTTCACACCCTCCCCACCTCCACCACGTGGCCTTGCAGTACCACAGCAGCAGTTTCAGACCTGAGTGATAAATGAAATCCCCAACAATTAAAAAAATTTCCATAATTTTCCTGACTGACCTTGAAATGAAATAAAAATGCTTCTCTATATAACCCCCAGGGAGCAACCAAATTAAAATAGAAAATTATGTAAACTTGGAAATTGTTATGATATTGAAATTAAAGGTCAGGATGTAATGATAAATGTAAACAGAAGATGGCAGACTTCAAAATATTTAGAGAAAGATTGAGTGTAATAATATGTTTAGGGCATAGATTTGAGAGGCACATGACATCTAGTACCTGTAAAAGATTTCTAACCGGCAGAAAAAAAGTCTGGCATTTGCATCAGGTAAATTCATAGTTTCTGGTTACCAATTAGATTGTCCAGATAGCTTTTTAAGATGTGCAGTTAATAACGCAAGTATTCAGATCTTTGTGGCAAGAATATAATCCACTGTTTTATTGGCCTGGTTAACTCATAACCGTCTTATGAGTATGGTAAGCTAAAATCAAATCCTTTAGTTAATACAGGTTTAAAGACCAAGGCAGTATTTCCCATGAATTTATCTGGCCCTTAATAACAGTAAAATAAGCTCTCTATAAAATTATTTAAAGCCTGAGTGTTTAAACTTTTAATAAAGTCAAAATCACTTAGACTCTATAGTATATAGTCTTATTCTTATATATGAGAATATACAAAAATTCACTTCTGCAAGCTGTCACTAGTTTCCCTAAGCCCTAGACTTTTGTATTAGATTTGAGTTTACCATTAAACAAAGTTAGCAGTTGGGTACTAAAACAAGAGTAACAACTTATCTGGAAAACAAACTATGTTCCAGGAATTATGTGGATACAACTGCCAGGTACTGACACATAGGTATAGATTCATAGTTTGGGGTGCTTTGACTCTCCTAGAATAGAGGATATATTAAAGATTTCACCATGAGATTTAAAAGCTCATTTAATTCTTTACTGAAAACAAAAAGACTATTTCTACTCAAAGCAAGCATCCTACTAATACGGAGGAATGAATGATGAAAAGAAACTGGGTATTTATCTTAATTTGTCATTTATATACATTTGGTTTGTCACATTTTTCAAAAGTAAAAATCCTGTGATTAATAAACCAGTGTTTCTTTATCCATCAAAAACCATCATAGTTTCTGACTAGCTAAATTGTTACATAAAGTTTATACTACCATCAATATTTTAGTACAACATAATTTGTTGTCATGTCCCTGAAAGTGATAAAGCACCTACTCAAATTCTAAAATACATTAACAAATTCATGACTCACCTTCCAAGCATGATAAGTACCAGAGGGATCAGTCTGATATAATCTTGGGATACCATCATTGTCAAAACCTACAATTAAGGCAGAAATACCAAAAGGTCTTCGTCCATTGCTTTGAGTATATTTCTGAAAAATAAAATGTTTTCATGACTACTTTCTATATGAGGCCTTTTAAAGAAAGGACAACACTATTACTTATCAAATAACAAATTCCAATAGTAAAGTATTCCTGATAATATGATCTTCATTAATTCCTATTGTGTATAATTTCAAGATCCTCTTCCTTTTTTTGTACTAACCACAATCCATGATGAAAATTTTAAGAAATAAATGTACACGATATGTAAAATAAAATCGTAAGTTTCTTATGTATGGTCTTAAATTTGTTTTCTCGTTGCCTTATGTAAGTTTGGTAACATAACTAGACTTTAAGCTTTTTTCTTACTTCAGAGAACTGTGCATGTCATACCATTTTGGTTCCCAATAAAGCTGATTTCAATGAGCTGTGCTTTGGAAGCATGTCCTTGGTTTACTTTGAGGGACACTTTGTTATTATCAAGTATTCTTACTTGATACTATTAGTATCAAGTATATTCTGTTCACTATACCAAGTTATCTCTATATAAAAACCCAACTAAGACACTTCTTTCAGTACCAAGACAAGGAACCTCTGTTTCTCTTGAAGAAAAAATATGTTTTTTCCTGACTGACAGTGGGGCACTGGAAACCAATGGTATTTCTTTTTACTTTAGTGCCAGGAACTTTCTGAATTTGTGCTCTAGGGAGTGGAATTCACACTAATTCTGAGACTGGCATCCACAGAAGTTGTGCAGAGAGGCAGCCCTGGCAGAAAACTCAGGACTACATTTGTAGGCAACTGTAGGAACTGTATATAACTCTATGGCTTGAGATAGCTTTATACTAGCTTTCTTCTTTTACTTGTCTACATATCTGTTTTTAAATTTTAATTGTATTATATCTATATTTATAGGCCACTTTAAGTTTCGGGGTTTTTTGGGGTTTTTTTTGGCTTCATGGCTTGTGGGATCTTAGTTCCCAGACCAGGGATTGAACCCGGGCCCCCTGCAGTGGAAGCATGGAGTCCTAACCACTGGACAGCCAGGGAATTCCAAACCACTTTAAATTTTGAATGCAAATAGTGAGTTAAAACATAAACTCTTTTTTTTAATAACATACTTTTTTATAAATTTATTTATTTTTATTTTTGGCTGCGTTGGGTCTTCGTTGAGGCGCGGTCTTTCTCTAGCTGTGGTGAGCAGTGGCTACTCTTCGTTGCGGTGCATGGGCTTCTCATTACGGTGGCCTTTCTTGTTGCGGAGTACAGGCTCTAGGCACGTGGGCTTTAGTAGTTGTGGCACGCAGGCTCAGTAGATGTGGCTCACGGACTCTAGAGCACAGGCTCAGTAGTTGTGGCGCACGGGCTTACTTGCTCGGCAGCATGTGGGATCTTCCTGGATGAGGGATCGAACCCATGTCCCCTGCACTGGCAGGCAGATTCTTAACCACTGCACCACCAGGGAAGTCCACAATATAAACTCTTAAAGAATAGGGTTTGTCTTTTTTCTCTGTATTTCCTAATGTTCCTAGTTCACACCTAGGTATGAAGTAGATGTTTTGTAAATATACTTTAGAGGAGAGAAACTTTTACCTTATTTGCTTAATTAACCACTTTTTTTGTTTTGTTTTGTATTGGCTGCACCGTGCTGCATGTGGGAACTTAGTTCCCCCACCAAGGATCAAACCCACGCCCCCCGCACTGGAAGCGTGGAGTTGTAACCACTGGACCTCAAGGGAAGTCCTAATCAACCACTTTTTAATGAAAAAGTAACATATGCACAACTTAAAATAATTTAAAAGAACAAAAGGTGTACATGGGGATAACTCTTTTGTCCCAGAGCCTCAGCCTCCTCCTCAGTAACAACCCCACTGTTACAGATTCACAATGTATATTTCTATAAATGTTCCACGCATAATAGCTTTTGTATTTCCAAAAGAAAACCTAAAATCCACATTTGGGAGCCTTGTATATACAATGTTCCGCACCTTGTTTTTTGGTGAGTACCTTTTAACTACTGGGAAATCAAAGCAAAGAAAAAAGAAAAACAGAACAATATAAAAATGTTGAACTTTCTTGAAACATGAATTAAATTAAAAAAAATTTATGTAATCTAAAACTTTATTATCTAGAATATATAGAACCTATTAAAAAATCTGTGTAGACAAATGGTAAAATCCATGCCAGGAAGTATTCTAAATGCATTAAAATGTACTAAATCATTTAATCCATACTGTAATTCAACAAACATTATTGTAACATTCATTTTATAAATAAGAAAATTGAGGCAAAACAGGCTAAATAGTTTTCCCAAGGCATTAACTAGGAAGTAGCAAAGCCAGGATTTAAATCCCAAAATTCTGGCTCCTGGGAGTACATTCTTAACTACTAGAGTGCCTGTCAAAAGGAAAGATAGTTTACACTGGGAGAAATGAAAATAGCATACCAACATGTGGAAAAAAACTGACCTTACTACTAATTATAAAATACAAATTAAAACAACTATTACAGTACTATGTTATACTTATTTGCAAAATAAAAGAAAAATGAAAAACCCAATGCTGATGATTCTTCAGGGATGTATTTATGCATTGCTAGTTGTACAATAAAAATTTGTTCAATCTTTTTAGAAAGCAATTTAGCTACGTATAACAAGAGTCTTAAAACTAATTACAATCTCTAATCTAGTAATTCCATACTGAAAATTAATTTAACAATATAATTCAAAAAAGAAAAACAAAAGCTGTGACAAAGATAGAGTAATGTTATTAAAGCAGCAAATTGAGAGAGAGACAGAGAGAAAGCCAGAGAGAGAGAGAGAGAGAGAGAGAGAGAGACAGAAAAGGAGAAAAGGAAAGAAACTGGAAACAACCTAAATAATTACCAGATAGTAACTAGAAACAGTACTATATAGTTCGTAAGGATGGTAAGTATAAGGAGATGTTGCCATATTTAAAGAACAAAGAAAATGATAATAAATGAAACAATACTTGTATACATCATGATTATACTAAATGTAAAATCATGTTTCTACACATGGACTCAGAAGAAGTCATATCTAAACCTGATCAGTTATGTTTAGCTTTGTAGGTGAAACAATCATGGGTATTTCTTTGGAAAACTTTAAAACATGTGTTTTATTGCTACATCTCTGATGTAGAAATCTGTACAACTGTAGAAATCTCCTTAAAAGGTTACTCGTTTTTTAAAATTTAATATAATTCTCAGAATTGACATTGATTGAGATTTCTGATATCAAATCAATCTACTCCACTGGAATAAGAATGTGAGTTTGAAGTTAAGTGTGAGAAATAATAAGGAATTTAGCATGTTTTAATAGACTAAATGGTTGGAGTGACTGTAGTATTCCCATGACAGGACCCATAATGATGGAAAAGAAGAAAACTTGAAGAAATCTGTTGGAATACTGGCTTACCTGCTTTAAGGTTGCTATGAAGCGAGTTATATATTCTACAGTGACTGGGTCCTCAACTGTAAGCTTATGACTCTGGCACTCCACACGAGCTCTGTTTATTACTACTCTTGCATCAGCAGTCAGTCCTATAAAAGTAGTCGATACATTAGAAAAAAAAGGATGGCATTTTTTCTTGTCAAAAGGGTTTTGGCCACCATGATATTTTTCTTGTAACATCCTTTGTTTTTTCCTATATATATATATATATATATATATATATATTTTTTTTTTTTTGTGGTACGCGGGTCTCTCACTGTTGTGGCCTCTCCTGTTGCAGAGCACAGGCTCCAGACGCGCAGGCTCAGCGGCCGTGGCTCACGGGCCCAGCCGCTCCGCGACATGTGGGATCCTCCCGGACCAGGTCACAAACCCGTGTTCCCTGCATTGGCAGGCGGACTCTCAACCACTGCGCCACCAGGGAAGCCCTCTTTTTTTTAATGTAAGCATTTATAGCTATAAATTTTCCTCTTAGCAATCCTTTGGCTGCATCCCGTAAGTTTTGTATGTTGTGTTTTCATTTTCATTTGTCTCAAGATATCCTCTAATTTCTCTTGTGATTTCTTCTTTGATTCATGGGGTTTTTTAGGTGTACTCTTTAATTTCCACATATTGTGGATTTTTCCATTTTTCTTCTGCTCTTGATTTCTAGTTTTATTCAATTTTGGTCAGAAAAAATACTTTGTATGATTTCAACCTTTTAAAATGTATTCAGACTTGTTCTGTGGCAAAATGATTCCTTTTATAAGATAGTAAGGTAAAGGCTATTTTTTGCTCAATAAAGTTTTTAAACTTCAATACAAAAGTTTGGTTTTGAAAAAAAAACAATTAGAAAAGGAGCAAAAAGAAAAAAAAGACAAGAAACATGTCTTGTTTGCTATACAGTGGCAAATAAACACAAGAAAATATGTTCAACATCATTAGCTATGAGGCAAATGCAAATTAAATCCAACAAGAGATTTCACGACACACCTATACAAATGTCTAAAATAAAAAATAGTAACAACACAAATGCTAACGAGGATGCAGAGAAAATGAATCATTCATATATTGTGAGCAAGAATGCAAAATAGTACAGCCTCTCTGGAAAACAATTTGGCAGTCTTTTATTAAACTAAACATGCATTATTATATGACCCAGCAACTGTGCTCAAGCATTTATCCCAGAAAAATGAAAACGCAAAAACCTGTACATGAATGTTCACACCAGCTTTATTTGTAATAGGCAAAAATTGGAAATAATCCAAATGTCCTTTAATTGGTGAGTTGTTAGCAAAGTGTGGTATATCTCGTACCATGGAATACTATTTGGCAATAAAAAGCAATGGAGTAATGACATATGCAATAACTTGGATGAACTGCAAGGGAATTATGCTGAACAAGAAAAGCCAATATGAAAAGGTTATATACCACGTGATTTTATTCATACAACATTCTCATGCAAAATTACACAGATAGAGAATAGATTAGTAGTTGCCAGATGTCAGACACAAGAAGGAGGAATAGCATGATGTAGCCCTGTGATGACCAAAGAGTTGTATATCTTGATTTTGGTGATGGCTACATGAATGTACGCATGTTAAATCTATTAAACCTACACACACACACACACACACACACGCACACACACACACACACACACAAATGCACGCAAATGAATGCACACAGAGCTGGTGAAATCTGGATAAGCTCTGTGGCTTGTACCAATGTCAATTTACTGGTTTTTAAAGATGTTACCTTTGGAGGAAACTGGGTAAAGGGGACTTCCCTGTGTTGTTTTGTAACTTCCTAAGTATAATTATTTCAAAGTAAAAAGTTTAAAAAGAAAACAGCTACCTAAAGTTATAATTAAGGTAATATATTTCTTTTAACATTTATGTTTTATTAAAGCTCATTATCAGAAATGCTGGTTTAGAGTTGTGATTTCCCAAAAAATATAAGGCATACTGTTTATGTTTAATAAGAAATGGAGTTTAGCTCTATATGTTGTATAAATATTGCATAACAGCTACAGAGGGGCCAACTGTTACTCTACTACACCAAGATACTCTATCATTATTGTAGGTCCCTAAGTACCTGCAAAAGCCATGCAGACATGGTCATCAAGGGCACAAATTTTCCTCACAATTCTTTCATCTTGAAGCTTGGCAACAGATTTTTTTTCGACCCCAAGCACAACTATATCAGCACCTCGAATTCCAACCTGTTGAGTCATTAAAAAAACATAACGAGTTGTCAGTTTTAACACTAAAATCAAATTATTCTAACATATGACTTATGGAGAAAGGCTTTTCCTTAACCTTCAATAAAAATGAGAAAAGGAGACTTCTAAGAAAATAGATGCATAGGTATAGGCTTACGGGAAGTTCATTTCCCAAACTCAAAGCAAAGACAAATAGGTATAAACTAGAAGAATACACCACCAATGCTGAAACTACGTGAGTGTCCTAATCTCATACAGTACACCTAAAGAAGTACTATCTCAATAAAGAAAAAATTTAACCCAAATGAAAGAAGATGCTGGAAATACATGTGAATTCCTTATAGAATGGGTAGTACCAGTGCTGGTGGTAGGAGAAGTAGTATAGAAAGTCAAGTAGAAAAAATCCTGAAAGCTCTCCCATGAATCTCACAATTTGGAGGGATAAGGAATAGGGGCCATAAGTAGCCAAGAGAAAGACCAAATGCCCTCACGCTACATCGGTGATAAGGAACACCTCAATGCAAACATGAATATAACAAGAAGAATCACTATTGCTCCACTCTCCACTCCTTCACTTGGGAAGGAAGTGGGAAAAAAGAATAATATAAAATAAAGATAAAGATAAAAAATAATAAATAATATAAAATAAAGATAAAGATAAAAAATAATAAAGAATAATGTGTAAGAGTAGTAGCTCTCAGATAGGGACTTCTGGGAAACATGACCCTTTTCTCAGGGGTTCAAGAGCAATCTATGAGAATTTTAATTCTGTATTACAATGGTAATGTAAATATTTTGAGAGGCATTTGTGTTTTATGATTGCCTTGTGACCAAATGTGGTATTAGTACTGTTTTATACAATATAATTATGCAAAAAGGTGTGCTTGAATTAGTATTATTGAAGTAAAAATATAGAACAAGTTAAATATATAGAACTAGATCTGAGACTACATCTTCCAGTTAAGTAAAACACAATTTATCAAGGCTTTTGCTCTTATTGTTCCCTTACTTCAAGTCTGTCCGTTTATCTAACAGTCCTTCTCTTACCATTCTATCCAACATCAGCAACCCTCCCCCACCACATCCCACCCTCACCTAATACACACATGTCGAACTTTATACCCTACAGGGAATATGCCTTTCTACCAAGCCATGGGACATTATAACACTTTAACATATATTAGGACTCAAAAAAAAATCTCAATATTTTCCCAAAATTGAAATAAATCCAATTCAATTCATTGGTCACAAGAGAATACAATATGTAGCTCTCACCTAAATAATTTTTGACTTGATAAAGTGATTAAAACTGTCAGAACAGACTATTTAGAAAATGTTTATAATGAAAATCCTAATATTAAAGTCTTCTGTGGATGAAATTAAGCTCAGAAGAAAATTCATAATCTCACTTTATAAAATCAAGTAAAAATTAAGAATTCATTCAAGAAGATCAAAAAGGAATAAAAATACTTAAGCTAAACTTAAGAGGTGAAGTAAGGCAAAAGCAGAAATTAATGGTTAGGGAGAAAACAATACAATAGATAAATAATACTAAGATTTAAAAAAAAAATTTTTTTTATTTTTGGCAGCACTGAGCAGCTTGCGGGATCTCAGTTCCCTGACCAGGGATTGAACCTGGACCACAGCAGTGAAAGCCCAGAATCCTAACCAATAGGCCACCAGCAGACTCCCCAAGATACGTTTTTTAAAAAAAATAATTGAAAGCAGTATTTCAGTTAATATAGCCAAGAGGAGGAAAGGATTAAATAAATATATGCACATGTGAAAAAGTAGGAATTTAAAAATTCTAAGTTAATAAATTTGAAAACCTGACTGAAAAAAGATGACAGATTAGAAAAATTAAAAATTGCTCATACTTACTCAAGAAAAGATAGAAGTCTCACTCTCACTAACCAACATGGGATAATTTCAGGAAAGAACTATTCCTCAAAAGCAAGTGTCAGACCTAGAAGGTTCATGGATAAATTCTTTCTAATCTTCTGTTATAGGTACTTCCTATGCTATTTAAATTATTCTATGGTGCAGATCAAAATTGAAATATTCTTAATGCTTTTTAAAAATTATTTTGATTGATTTTTGGCTGCGTTGGGTCTTCGTTGCTGTGCGCGGGCTTTCTCTAGTTGCGGCGAGCGGGGGCTACACTTCATTGTGGTGTGTGGGCTTCTTATTGCTGTGGCTTCTTTTGTTCCGGAGCACGGGCTCCAGGCGCCCGGGCTTCAGCAGCTGGAGCACATGGGCTCATTATTCGTGGCGCACGGGGTTAGTTGCTCCGCAGCATGTGGGATCTTCCTGGACCAGGGATCGAACCCGTGTTCCCTGCATTGTCAGGTGGATTCTTAACCACTGTGCCACCAGGGAAGTCCCCCTAATGCTTTTAGGGAAAGCTACGTAACAATGTTAAAATCTGGCAAAAAGTACTAATGATGTTCACTTAGGAAACCTGATGCCCATTCAAAATGATATTCATAAATAGAATCTAGAGGTACAGAAAAATAACAATATACCATAAATAGTATGGTTCATTCCAGGAGTTTTAGGAACATCAATAAAAGTAAATCTTTTAATATAAATGTTACACTGGGTAAGTGGAGATCTGTTATTTTTGGCCTTCTGATAAGAACAGAACTTCAATTGTTCTTGAAAAAATACTGAGTCTTTAGGTGGGGCTATAATGTAACCCAGCCTAGCCAAATGATAAATCCTTAAAGTTTTACTGGAAGTGTTTGGAAGATAAGATAATTCCTTCTGCTGTACCTAGAGCTGGCAGCCTGAAGCCTAGGGCTCTCTGGGAGCCACCACGTAGAGATGTTATGTCTGAGGGTGAAAGTAACAGGGAGAGGAAGCGAGAGACAGAAGGGGAGAGAGAAGGAGAGAAAGGGAGGAAGAGACACACCAGTTCTGCTGACATCGTTTGATACCCTAGCAGCCATATAGTTGAACCTGAAAGCAAGGTTTACCTCTGCTCCCTTTGGATACTTGACTCAATAGATTTATTTTTTTTGCTTAGTTTGATTTGAATTTCTGATACCGGCAACTGAAATAGTACAAACTAAAACAATCAAATAGTAAAAATAAAAAGTAAACGATAAAACTACAAAGACGTGATAAAATTCAACATCCATACCTAAATTAAAAATAACACTAGAAAAGCAGGAAGAAGATTATTTGTGAAAACTATTTCAAAGCTTGTTAAAAGTATCACAAATCAGCAGCCAGGTTCGTCTCAGAATATGAATCACCGTCCATTCAACTGTTCAAGCCAAAAATCTGGTTGACATCCTTTATCATTCCTTCTTCCACACTATCCATTTCCAATCAATCACCAAGTTTCTGTCCATTTTACCTGCAAAAGCTATCCACTTCTTCCTATCACCACTCTAGTAAAAGCAACCATCATTTCTTGCCTGGACTACATACTACTGCATATCCTAATAGGTTTTCCAGTTTCTTCTCTTGTTCCCCACCTTCCTCCTTCCAGCCTCACCCTTCACTGTACCCCCATCTAGTCTCCACAAAGCAGCCAGCATGAGCATTTAAAAACATCAACAAGGTCAGATTACTCTCCAGTTGAATATCCTTCCGCTGCCCTTAGAAACTTTTTTCAAACTCCTTAGTCTTGCCAATAGAGCTGGGCATGATCTGACCCCTGCCTACTTCTACAATAGTATGTAACGGTTGTTAACCAAGCACCAGCTACACTACCTTCTTTCAAGACTTCTCAAACACAATTCTGTTTCCCTCCTCTGAGCCTTCACATGTGGTATTCCCACTGTCTGGAATGCTTCTCCTCTTATTTCAGGTCTCAATTTAAATCTCACCTCAAGGAGTCCTTCTGTATTATTCTCTAAACAACCTATCTTTTCATGCAATCAACACATTTATAATTATTTATTCATTATACTTACCTCTCCAAATCGTTAAATCTATGAGGGCCAAAAAAATAATCAGGCAAATCTAGATGGGGGATACTACTGAACAATTAATCCAGTCTCTTCAAAAAGTCCAAGGCGGGCTTCCCTGGTGGTGCAGTGGTTGAGAGTCTGCCTGCCAATGCAGGGGACACGGGTTCGTGCCCCGGTCCGGGAAGATCTCACATGCCGCGGAGCAGCTAGGCCTGTGAGCCATGGCTGCTGAGCCTGCATGTCTGGAGCCTGTGCTCCGCAACAGGAGAGGCCACAACAGTGAGAGACCCGTGTACCACACACACAAAAAAAGTCCAAGGCATGAAAATAAAGGGGGATGCTGTTCAAGAATAAAAGAGATATCTAACAGCTTACTGCAATGCATGGATTTTAGATTCAGACTCAAACAAAAGAGCTATAAAAAGATATTTTGTAAGCAATAAGGAAAATTAGAATGTAGACTATTACAAAATATTAAGGAATTTTTGTTAATTTCATTGGGAGTGATCATGGTTTTAAAAAAACATCTTTTTTGGGACTTCCCTGGTGGTCCAGTGGGTAGGACTCCATGCTCCCAATGCAGGGGCCCCAGGTTCGATCCCTGGCTGCGGGACTAGATCGTGCATGTGTGCCACAACAAAGAGTTCGCATGCCACAATGAAGAGTTTGCATGCCACAACTAAGAAGTCCGCGTGCCGCTACTAAGGAGTCCACATGCCGCAACAAAAGATCCTGCATGCTGCAACAAAGATCCCCTGTGCTGCAACTAAGACCCGGCACAGCCAAAGTAAATAAATAAATATTAAAATAAATAAATAAAAATAAAAAACATCCTTTTTAATCGAGATAAATACTGAAATATTTACAGGGGAAATATCATAATATCTGGGATTTATTTTAAAATACTTCATTGAAAAATGAATTTCAACTTCAGCCTCACACCATATAAAAAAATTAACTCAATATGGATCATAGAATTTGTCTGGGGACTTCCCTGGTGGTGCAGTGGTTAAGAATCTGCCTGCCAATGCAGGGTACATGGGTTCGAGCTCTGGTCCGGGAAGATCCCACATGCTG